GAAAGAATACACATACATCCTCAATTAAAATAGGCGACAACAGTTGAAGTTTGATTTTTCCAAAAGAGAGAGAGAGAGAGAGAGAGATAGATCTGGTTTGAATGACAGCTGGCACTCAGTACATCGAAAAGAGGTAGGCTATTCAAACGTGAATCATCGCCAATTTCTTTGATTTTGAGACAAACTAATCGCGTATTACTATAGTTTACATTTTTCAGGTACATGCTGTTTATTGAAAATTTTCTACAATTTCAATTTTTTTGTACTAAGCAAATAGTTGTTTTCACAACATTTGGACATTTCATATTTCACAGGAATCAAATTTTATATCGTAGTTATGAATTCTAATCTCATATACAGGAAACTTCAAATTGCCAGATATCGGAGTTGAAAAATTAAATATAAAATATGTTTTACAGAATAATTGATGAGGAGCTGACGAATTTAATGAAATTAATATGTGGTGGGGTGTTCACTAATAGGAAAATTCAAAAATTACAAAAAATATTCACTAAAAGTTAGGTTGTTTGGAGCAGTAGCCACATCGTTTCGTTTTCATTACTTTCTCGACTCGGATTTTAACAGTGATTACTTTGTTCAATTTGAAAACGTTTTGCCTCATTTACAAAAATATATCCCCATTTGAGGCTTCATGCCATTCTTATAGCACCCTTACACCGCGTTGAAATTTCCAATTCCTTTAACAAATTTGGTCAGGAATTCTATTTATTACCATGGGGTCAAGTTGTTAATCACTTTCCCTCAGATATAAGGCCATGGGGTCAAGTTGTTAATCACTTTCCCTCAGATATAAGGCAGGCAAATTGGACCAACAAAATGTTTAAGAATAAAAACATTTTTGGCTGATAGACCTTATTATAATTTGCAAGAGTTCTATAATGATAAATTCACGTGACAAAATGTGCATATTTGAATTTAGGTTATAAGATTTTTGTATATTCTTGTTTGGATATAAATGTTTGTTTGTCTGGTGCAATAGGTGTGTTTATTTATGTATTTATTTCATACACTATTCTACAGGATGAACCCAATTACAGAATAGGGAGTAAAAGTGGCATTTACAAATATGTACTTACGACTTACATAATATAATTTGTGAATCTATGAAAAAAAAAACAAAAGTGTCAGTTAGCTAAGAAATGTCTTTTGATTCGTATAATCTGGCAGTTGAATATATCTAGGACTTGACTAACAAAATTAGAGGTATCGCACATTGTATAAATTGGAGATTTCTTCATTATATTTGTACGCGGAGTGTTGAGATAAAATGTGACACTATTCCTAGATGACCTTATAGTTTACATTTTTCAGGTACATGCTGTTTATTGAAAATTTTCTACAGTTTCAATTTTTTTGTACTAAGCAAATAGTTGTTTTCACAACATTTGGAACCCAAAAATTCAACATATGTAACAGTTGAGAGCAGGTGATGATATTGTTTATGACCTTGAATAAAAAAAGAAATGAATAATATTTACGTCTTACCTCGATACTACAAAAATTGTGAGTTACAAGCAATTCATAATAGAGTATTCCTACAGTAGGATACGTGCTTTCAAGTTCAAAAGACATATATTTTAGGAAGCGCCTCTGTAGAGCTTCTAGTTGATTTATATGAACCTGATAGTAGGGACTCCACACGACAGATGCATATTCCAGCCTAGATCGAACAAAAGTGAAATAAAGTAATTTAAATGTTGGAGATTTTTTGAAGTCTTTTGTATTTCTAACTAAGAATCAATACATGCGATAAGCTGCTGTTAGAGTAGTATCAATATGTTTATTGAAAGAGGGATGAATCAACAAACCCCATTGCTGTTTCTCTAATAAACACCACAAAAATAAATAACTGTAGCTAGATCACCAATGTTAATGTGGGTTAATGTTCAACTTGATATTGTCGACATATTCATTTATTTGACGATTATAACGTGAAAGTCCCTCGAATGCTAGACATTTCATTACTCGTTAATTGAATATGCCAATATCAATTTGTTTCTCATTTTATAACAATAAACCTCGATAACAGAGTACTTGTATATTCATAGAAAAAATGACAGTCTTCTAAAGGTGGTACTTGGTAAAATTTTAAATTCGAATTACAACTGAAAGATATTAATTCGGTACTAATGTGTAGCAGATAGTTACTCTACAAATACCACGAACAATTAGAATGTTGAATACGATTGTATAACAATTTTTTTCTAATTTCATAAATATCAAACTTAATACACCTATCTGAAATATCAGCGATTTATATGCCTAGTAACTTTTGTTTACGTTCAAATGATATTGGAATAATATTTACGAACTTCAAATAATCTGCATATTTACTTTTTTTAATATTTATTAATATGATCCTCACTCAACAACTAGCTCGTTTTAAAATAATAAAACCATATCCCTGTAAAAAATAAGAACAATCGAATTCCACGAAATTATTCAAGTGTCAATTCAGTAATGAATCCCATGAGAACTCTTCTGAAAATAACTGGATTATTTCTAATATAGCTGTTTGCAGTCATGTCAATATCATCGTTTAAATTTTATGTTGCTTGATTAGAAAGTTCGCCCTATTGAAAACACTATTCCCACACTAGGTATTTTGCACTAGAGGTTCCTATTTTACCGATAAGAAGGTTTACATTGTCATACTCTGTGAAAAAAAAAATTTTTCAATAAATTCCACACTTTTTTTTTCTATAATCGATCCAATATCCCCCGGAGTCTCGTCAATACCGTTGGAGTGCCGGAAATGTTAATATAGCACTCATAGACCCGTATTATTATTCCAGAAAGGTTGTGACAGTCAAGCCCTTTTCCCGAAGCTTCGACACAACAAGCTTTCCGCCTTTAAGTGAAAGCTACAGAGAAAGAAAGCGATACTCTTTATGGAGTCGATGTAGTGTAAAACTCGTGTAAAAATATCCACTATATTTTTGTCAAATGGTTGAAACCAAACTTATAACTTGAAAAAATCTGTCGTTGAAATTTTGGAATCAGTTCTTTAGAAAAGTAGGTGGAAGTATGGGATTAAGAAAAAAACATTTCTAGATTCAGCATTAGATGAAGAACGTGAAAAGGCTACCCTTTCCATTCTTTGGAAGATTCCCATATTTTTCTTTATCAAAATGGAGTAGTAGAAAGTCAAAAACTTTCTTTCCTTGAAAAATTTATGGTTTGTCCGTTCAAAATTTTCAAAAATTATAATTTCTTTTTTTGGTATTTCATCTGTTCCCAGATCTTAAGTTTTCATGTTTCATTTCTATTTTTTAGTTCCAATGGAACAAAAATATGAAAATGATTATCGACGTAAAATAAAGGATTATAATCTGGAGTGAATTATAGGTAGGTTTTTTCAATTTGTAAATACGTAACCTCAATATATCCTTATAAGTCTCCCCTTAACGGTATCTAAAAGTTATAAATTGGATAATCAATTTCAATTGAATTATCAACAAAAGGTATTCAATATTTCTAATAGGAAGTGAAGTGAGAAAATTGACCTTGTAAATAAAATGTGATAGTTGAGTACTTCATAATCTTATGGAATCTCGTTTGCCATGATGAAATTTAAAAAAAATTAATTCGACTGTTAAACCTTTTGCCTGTATAAACATTATTTTTGCAAAATACAATTATTGTGAATAATACAAAATATACCTAGCAAACAATAAGGAAAAGATAGAAAAATATTGAAATCTGTATTTCATTCAAAACTAAGAGTTCTTCATCCAAAGAAATGTTGATACTTCCATCTTTTTTTTGTATCTACGGCATATTGTAAATTTTATGAATTTTATTTTACTATGTAATTTATTATTTCGGATAATGTAATTACTTATTTATTCATGTTATTAAACTGCAAGGTTTGTATGAATAATAAATTAATAAATGAATCAACTTCTAAAATCATTAGCGAGGTCATTATAGCCTCCAACAAATCATAAAAGTTGATCTTAATGAGGCATTCCCTAAGATTCAACTGTTCTCAAACATGCACTTTTAAAATGTAATAATAATGCATCATCTTCTGATGATGCCAACTTGGGTAGCGAAACGTATGTTAATAATAGGGGTACAATGAGGAGTCTAGTTTCAAAACGAGATAAGTCACTTTCAGATTTTTCAGGAGACAAAAAAACTAATGAAATAGCAGTTTTTCAATGAAAACTATTTCATTTAAAGTTTATGAGGTATAGACATATTGTAAAGTACCTACCTACAGTACCTAGTAAAAAGGAATAATGACTATGAAACTGGACGCCTCAAATGATAGTAAGAAATAAAAATATATCCATATTCAGCATAGGTCGCATCTGTTTTTTTCATGGTATTTTGTACCATTCACTATTATTCAGTTATATAATAAATAAAAGTAGCTATGACATTTTAAGATTACAATATGCAAATATTTTTTCATGGGTAGGTATGTATCCCATTATAACTTTCACTTTGAATTGAATACAATCGTGCTGAATATCCATTGGGTTAGATGCCATTGATAAAGAACACAAATCTGTTACAATAATTGTTCACATTTACGAAGAAAATGTTGATGCATGTCGTGCTATGAACATGTGCTTATAACTTTCACTTTGAATTGAATACAATCGTGCTGAATATCCATTGGGTAAGAAAATTATCCAAAACACGTTTGTTATATAATATTTTTTGAAATATTGAAATATCTTGAGTTATATTTTCTATTCATTATAGAATGGCACTACTTTATTTCTTGACTAGATTTTTTTTAATGCCTGAAGAGTAGGAAAACACTCGAAACAAACTTCATTCTGAATTGAAAATATAATACAAATGATAAACTGTTTCTTTCAAATTTTTCCTAGGAATACTCTCCTCACAATTCTGTGAGGAGAGTTTGAAATTTTGGTTTTGAAATTTAATTAAATGAAAAAACATATTTAGGTTATGTTTGTTTTTGTGTATATTTGTGTGACATGAATATTAAAACTTACCACACATGTTGATGAAACTAATTAACAAGACAGAACTAACCACCTCAACACGAATTCTGATACTAAAACGAAAAACCGAAAGATTTCCCTTTTATACAATCAGTCAACGCAACTTCGCTATCTATTATTTTACTACTCCCCTTGAAAAGAGACGCATGGTTGCCAATGTTTTTAGAATATATCTACTATTTCAGATATACTGTCTTGGACTAAGCTAGAAACAATAAAAAAATAGATGAATAATTTCTGCATCCACATGATATAATCAAAAAATATAAATACTGATGATATTTTCCAATCTCAGTTTTCTCATGTGTGTCTAATGAACGATTGAAGCGATAATACAAAAGCGGAGAAATTTCAAAGACATGGCAACAGCGACTAAATACCGTCGTATTTTGGACACAGATTTGCTTTTTTAAAAATATTATGTTATCTCTGCTTCAGCCTTTATTCACGATGCTTTGATTATATGTTTCTTGGAGAATAATTTTTAAGAGGTAATCATTGTCATCACATTGGTTTCAATTTGATATAGGTATATTAATTTTTCATGAAATCTGTAAACTTCAGGCTTATTCAAAAGCATTTAAACGATCTGCTGACGTCAACAGTGGTATTCTATTTTTGTTTTCCATATGAGCCTATTCAGTTTTTCAAGTTTTCAATACTTACTACTTTTCCTACTCTTGATACCTAATTTATCTTTGTTATTCAGTACGTGTGTAGGTATGCTGAGGAAAGCATTATATGTAATTTGAATTGAGGGTCAGGTTTCATGAACGATTTGAAGTTTTTCAGATTTTTTGACATCTACAAAAATTGAACAAACCAAGTAGTAGGCCAACATTAACATTGTCAATTTTAGTTATTATGAAAAAAAGAGAATTGAAATTTTCTGTTTTTTACCACTTTTATTTGTAACTGACGTTAGTTACTGCAGTTTCGTCCTATAAAAATATTTTCAAACTTATACATTAAACAGTTTAATGTATGTTTGAAAATGTTCTTATAAGACGAAACTGCAGTAACGTTAGTTAAAAATAAAAGTGGTGAAAACATAAAAGATTTCAATTCTCTTTTCTTCATTATGATTTCCTACCACGTAGTAACGGCTACATCCATCAATTTATTTTAGTTATCGACAAAAAATAATTTTCCATTCTTACGTGTGATTTCACGATTCATATTCCAGCACGGCTGGAAGAATCAATCTCACTCATGAACAGCAACCTTTCAACATATATAATGGATTACTCACGTCACCATAGAACCAAAAGGTCAAGTTCTGTGCATGCCACAGACGCACAGAACAGAAACATCTTAATTTTTTGGTTTTGTTTGACAGTTAATTTTATTTGATAAATATAACCTTTGCATGCCGTAGATGTGTAATTCTAATGTTTATTTCGTTTAAACACTATTTATCACTATAATACTCACGGAATTAAATTTTTCCTTCAAATAAAATATGTCAACCTTGGAGGATAAGATTCTTGGAGAAAAAAATCATAATTACTGCAGTAGCAGTGAAGAAAGTGATTGTGAGGATAATTCGGACCCAGAGGAACCTATCAAGAAACAAAATGAAAATCAAGAAAGCGTTCAATCTACTGAGATAAATAAGTGGGAGGGTACCTCTACAAATACGGGACCAAAAGGCGTAATCAAAGACTGGCAAAGATACAAACAACTTGAGAATGAGAGAAGACAAGAAGATGAAAGGGAAAAAATCGAATTAATGAAAAAATTAACTTTGACAGTACAATCAGCATTAGATGAAGAACGTGAAAAGGCTACCCTAGAAGACCCTGATCTAGCAGAATTGTTGAATGATGAGTTTTTAATAAATTATCAGAAGCAACGTATGAAGGAAATGATACTCCAAACCAATCACAACGTTAAATTCGGTAATATATTTATAAAGACAAATTGATAAAATTTCGTTTTCCAGGCTTTTTGTCAGCTGATCACAAATATGAAATCTACACTTTGTGCCCCAGTCTATTTCAGAAATATGGCCACTTCAAAGTTGAAATTGTTGAAAAATTCACTATTTTAAACATTTATTTCTGGTGATGAAAACTAGTAAAATAATTTCTCTTTACCGTCATATGTTGTGGGCCTCCAAACACACTTTCCAAATTTTTTTGGAACAAAGAAACAAATATTAACTGACAAATTTCATGAAATGATTAAGATAATTTTTTTCAGGCAATCTTATTTTACTGAAGAGTGGACAAGAATTCCTAGATGCCATTGATAAAGAACACAAATCTGTTACAATAATTGTTCACATTTACGAAGAAAATGTTGATGCATGTCGTGCTATGAACATGTGCTTAAAAGAACTTTCTAAACATTATTTAAATGTTAAATTCTGCTCTATTATAGGTTCATGTGCGGGCATAAGCCAGCAGTTTAAAGCAGACGGTGTTCCTGCTTTACTTGTTTACAAGTCCGGGAATCTTGTTGGTAATTTTATACGTATATCTGATGATCTTGGCAATGATTTTTTGCCAGAAGATGTTCAGGCATACTTAGTTGAACACGGACTGTTGGAAGATAAAAGCTGCACCCCTGCATTAATTAAAAGTGTAGTAGAAGACAGTGAGAGTGATTGAGTTTCAGTATTAATTTGCTTCATTTAAATCAATTTATGTTGGGAACTGTATGAAGTAGGTCAAGAAAACTGATTTGATTGTCAATTGAGATGGTAATAAGTTGAGAACATTAGATTACAATAGGGCAGGCACATGATTTTTTCATTCCTTTTAGGTAATTGATGTGAACCTCAGAAGTATTAGTAGTTTGATCATAAACTTGAATGCATACAATAATCATAATTAATTATCAGTAGTAATACAATCACTTCCCAGTGGTAATGAATCATCAATAATGGTAGAAAATGTATGTCAAACTTCTATATTCCCATCAAAATAAATAGTCTCTGGAATTGAATTTCTTTGTATATCTTAAAGAAGCAGAAATCCGAAAGAGCTTTCTAAAAAAATAACATTTTCATGAAAATTATTTTTTATATCATGCAAACAACTGTTTTGAAAACATCAAAATGTTGTTAAGTACCCTCATATTCCAAAATTCTTATATCTGAAGTTGATACTGTTTTCACTGTGAAATTACACATACAGCTTGTCAAATGTAAGAACAACTTTTCTGAATTCCGTTTTGATTCCGCCCACTAGATGCGCGTTCGTTAGAAGACTAGGAGAGAGAGAATTCTCAAGTCTCTTCCTAGATTTGATAACCTGTATGTGTAATCCAAAGAATACTGTTTACATTATAGTGTACTCAAGCGCTGCTTAATAAAATGTGTTAACGATATTGAAAATATATCACTCAAATACACGAATAAGGTTATTCAGTAGTCCAACTCTCTTTTTTGTAGTCAAAATTTAAAGTATTCAGCAGTACAAAAACAATAATTTTCTCTGCCGATATTAATTTTCAAAAGTTTATTATTGCTTTCAGAAAAATTATCACAAAAAATTTGCTGACGACTCACATTAATCTCTGCTAGGTTACATAAAAACTGGTAACTTAGGTTATTTTGTAACTACTCTCTCATCACATCTCCCCAACAATTGTATTAGGTTTATTTAAATGGCTATAGCAAGAAATAGCTGCTTTCCCTGACATTAATACCTAAAGAATATAATTTTTGGTAGTGTATTAATATAAACACCTCAGTATAAATTAAATGATCTCATTTCCATAATTCTTTATCGTAAGTACTAATTCTGAATTTCATATTTTTTACTTTAGTCACTGAGATATTACATGCCTTTGTAATTGCATTTGAATGTACCATTGAATTTGACATTCATCAGAATTTTGCATCTGTCTTTTCTGATTGTGTTGAGTATATTCAAATTCAAAGTATGAGAAATATGAAGAAAATTAAACCTATACTTCGGTATTTGCTGTATATGATGCACTGTATTATATCTGTGAAATAATGTAACTGTTTTATACTCTTGTAATATTTTCATGGTTTTATATGTATTTATAGGCCAATAAAATTCAAATTGATTTGTTGATTTTTTCCAAAATATAATCTAGAATAAAATCACCAAAATTCCTAATACCACTGCCAATATCTAAAAACGTTTGAACTCATTCAGGACCAAACTGATTTCAACTGGTCGTGCCCACAGGACCACAGCCAAAGCGCTGGATTCGTCAGGCTTCGGTCCTGGATAAATAATAAGAAAAGCAATTAACTAGTTTAGTGATGCAATAATTTTTCTGAAAAAGGGGTTGGTTGGGTAACAGGTAGATTTGAACTAAATAAACTTTAGGAAACGACGTTGAACTTTTTCACACAATGCAGAAACGACGTTGAACTTTTTCACACAATGCATTATAACAATTGTAGAATGGAGACCATAAAACAGAGCTATATTCTAATTTTGACCTTATGTAAGCTACATAAAGAAATTAGAGCAGATATGTTTGAAAAAGATCTGCAATTGCGAACTATTAAGCCATAAACTGTCAATGATTTACTTACTACTTTCGATCTAATGTGGTTGGAAAAAGACAATTTTTGATCACTAAAATCTTTGATTCAATTACTACATAACAGTGAAATGGTATCTACTCGATGATGACTACTTTACATTTGGATGCATTAAAATATGGTTTGTCAACTTCACACCAAATCTGTATATTTTGTAACTGCCATTGCAATGTATTACAATCTTCGATAGGTAAATATATTTTTAAATCATCTACAAAAAATTACTTTTTACAATCGACATAATTAATGAGGTTGCTTTGAAATAAGTAGGATTTTATGAAAAGTACTGCTGAATTAAGGAATCATGTGATCAAGTTGATCAAAAGTTTTAACAACAGTGGTTGCAATGTATTAGTATTCGATAGTAAATATGATTTTGAATCATGTACAAAAAATGACTTTTTACAATCGACATAATTAATGAGGTTGCTTTGAAATAAGTAGGATTTTATGAAAAGTACTGCTGAATCAAGGAATCATGTGATCAAGTTGATCAAAAGTTTTAACAACATCAGTGTACCTACATCACATCAACTTGACCACGATTATCTAAGACGTCACCAACATTTTGAGTCGATACAATTGAATTTGTTATGGTGGATCTGTTTGACATAAATCCAAATTATTGCAGATATATGATGTTACAAACTGATGAATTTACGCGATTATAATGACAATTTCGAGAAATTCAGCATATTTCGATAATTCTAAATATCAAATGGATCTCCAGACTTTAAAAAATGAGACAAACTCGTGATATCTTTCATGATTCAGGAAAAGTATTATTTTTAACTGCAAGATTAAAGTGTCAGTAAGGGATAGACCAAGGTACCGACGCAATCTTTCATCAAAAAGGTTGGTACCTTAATTTCTGGACCAGAAGTGAACTTATTTTTTAGTTTATGTGCTGCAATCAAGATTTGCTGTTCGCTGATGATTTCAAAATTTATATTATAAAAACAATTAGAATTTGATAAGCATGAATGAAAAGTATTTTCATCAGCTGCAGAATGTGAATATGTATTGTGAAAAAAAAAATGCAAAACTGGAATGTTAAATTCACACATGATAATTTAGTATAACAAACGTTTTTTTCTGATGAAAGTTACATTCGAGTGAGAAAATTTTCTTTTTGTTGAAACATATTCTCCACAAAAATTGGAATCTTTCAGATCAGATTTAGTCAGAGGTGTGAATTTCCTACAACCTCTCGTGAAGACCTCCTTATTGTGATTCATAAGAAATATTCCAAACATCGTATTCTGTGTACGCTCACACGATGCTATGAAAATCAATGAAGATTTACATCAAAGGTGGTTGGATGATCATGATTAGTAGAGGATAATTTACGTTCTCTTTTGTTTTCAATTCTTACACACGCTTCCATCGACGTGAATTTATACGTCTGAATGACTCCAAATTTATGAGTTTTCTGTCACATCACGTTAAAACTAATATCGCAATTATCAGAAGGCATTGATTATTGACAATTCGAACTATTGTTTTAATGTGATTAGGTGAACAAGAATCAGTTTTGCATTAGACTTTTATATATATTTGTTTCAAATTTCTCGTTTACAAACTAATATCTTTAGACTTAATATGTTATCCAAAATGTGTGTTTAATTTTAGTATGTTATTTGGTAAGAATATAATTTGGGATTAAAAGAATGCTCCATATTAAGGCTATTCTAAATGTATTATTACAATGATTTCAAAATGTTTTTGGAAAAATCATACTTTGATTTGTGTGACATTAATTCTAAAATCCTTCAAATTCAGTTTGGAAAAATGTTCACAGCATATTTTTTTAAACAATTAGGCTGGTGCCAGTACCACAGCATTCTTTTTCAGATTAGAAAAAATATTCCAAAATTATTTTGTTGAAATAAAAGTGCTACTGTGAAATTTTTCACTAATAAAATTTGGTTGACATTAACTCCTACAAGTGAAAAGTTAATATCACGCAAATATTCTACCAAAAAAATGTCACAGATTTTCTTATATTCTCTACTAATCAATTTTAAAATGTATAGAGGTATGCCCTAGTATTTCAAACTCCTACTGAAGATAATTTGAACAAAGTTGTAGAACAATAATTTTCATCCACATTAAAAATGTGTCTTTCTAGAAGTGTTCTGCTAAGCCATCCTAAAAGTTTTAAGTATGTATGTACGTTTTACATATGTAATAACATCATGCATGAATGTTCGTGTCCCATTCTATGCACAGTAGAACAATTCATAGCCTATGTGGAAACCTCAAGATATTTGTTCTTTATTTTAAATTTATAGGTGAGACATATACTATCCAAATAAAATTATTTCTGTTCAAACTTATTCTACCCTAATCATGAAATGTAATACATTTTCAATTAATTATTCAGGCGCAAGAAAAAATGATATGATATTCTTGATAAATTAAATATTTTTTTATTGTATAAATCCTCCTGATGCATTTTAGACTAGTCGTTGCTAACTCAACAGTCAACTACTATCTGTTCAGTAGGTTTCTTCAGCCTATCTATCGTACAATATAATTTGACAGCAGAAAATACCACACTTTATGTATGGTTGAAAACAGTACATAACCCACGGTGTTGTTTGTAGATTGGTTGGATAACCCTGAAAAATAGAAATTGAGACTGTTTTCACCTGTAAATTCCAGTTATTATTATATTGACATCTTTGTGATGATGAAAATATTTTTTTTGTCAACTAACGCTTTATAATGAATATATGTTGCATAGATAAACGATAGGTGTCTTGTTGGAGAAGTACTTGTTGTAATTTCTGCTCTATCGGAGAATACATTTTCAAATCATCGGTGTATAATAGATAATGACTATGTTGAAAGCATGAACCAATGTCATTAATGAAAATTGAGAACATCAGAGAACATTATAGAAGTAATAGAAAATCATGAGGCAGTGTCATTAATATTGGTTAAGAATATGAATGACCACAGATGTATGAATGACAAGGTTATCACAGTCGATATACTTAATGTAATATTATTATATTAGATACGGAACACGAATATATACATCTATATGTAGGGTTCAAAAGACACTAAACTACATCACAATGCAGAATGAGAATGATACGACATGAAATATTCAACGCGAACATCAGTTTAAATTATCATTGAAGAATTCTTCCATCGAATAATAAGCTTTGGAGAAAAGCAAAGTTTTCAATTTATTCTTCATGATCATAGCAGATAAAGTTCTGAGAGATTCAGGTATCTTGTTATAAATATTAATGATTGGAAAAGGTATATTTTTTTGAAGATAGGTCAAATGTGTCTTTATTCAAAAGGTTATTTTTGTTTCGTGTGTTGTGGGTATGGTTACTAGCATGAGTCGCAAAAAGAGATATATTTTCTTTGACAAATATCACAGATTCACAGATAAATATAAAGACCTGTTAGTGTTGATATTTTTTTCTCTACAAATATTTTTTTACAGCTTTCTCTCTGAGAAAGGTTGAATTTCTGAGACATTCCCCAGAACATAATGCCATATCTGATGTGACTCTGAATATAACCATTATATGCTAACAGTAGATTTATTTTGTGTAATTATTTTGAGGGCATAGCAGTACCTTGACATTTGTGTTGTCACTTTATCTATCTATCTTCCAGTCCAACTTTGAGTAAATTATAATTCCAAAAAAGGAAAGTTGGGTCACTGGATCTAAAGTAGTTACACCATCACTTGAAGTATTATTTGTGCCTTTTTGGGTAAAAGATATGATTATACTGTTTACAAGAAATTTGCTTATACTTTATTTGAGAATGGTGAATTGCTACATTTGCTTTGTACAATCCCCCTGCTGGTTTTAATTATTCCTAATAAGGTCTTTATAGGCCTTGAGAGAAGAGCTTGTTTCAGTGAAAATATACATATACTCAACATTAGACAGAAGGTACTTTTAGTGGTTTATTTTTTCATCAAAGTTCTTCAACAATATTTTCAAGAATTTCAGGTTAGCAATTTCTAATAATTACAAGTGTACATGAAATCTATAACATTTAAATATTTACATTCTTATTTTCAACTGGAAATATCCACGTTACTTTACTGACTAGGTATGTTGAATACTTTGATCTCTGGAAAAGAAAGGCATTGGTCTTCTAGCATCTTTATATAAAAAAATGAAGTAGATGACCAAAACCTTTCCCAAAAAATTTTCTCTCCTAAAAATAAACCCCTTTCAATTTGAACTTTGATCTCCTTGAAAAGTGGATTGAATTCCTTGGGGTCTTAATCACAATACTGAAGAACAGGTATACTTTCAATGTTCCTTTCAAAAAATGTTAAATCAGTGATGACAGTTGCCGTCTATAAAAAAAACAGTTTCAGTGAATTCAATAGATTTATATTCATATTGCAGTATTTTTAAAAGTTATTGATGTATTTTGCTTTTTACAAAAAAAAAGTTCAAGATGCAAATACAATTATTTATGTAAGCAGTACACTTTTAAAAAAATCCTTACATTTCATATGCTTGCCTTATAAACTAAAATTGTGAATATTTACATCATGTTAGCTCTTGAGGCAATCATAAAGAATTCTTTTTTTCTCAATTGAAGCTTTATACTGAATATATGACTTGAGAATATCATCATACTGTTTACAAGAAACCTGCTTATACTTTTCTTTGAGCTCGTTCAATTGCTGGATTTGCTTCTTGTAATCCTCCTGTTGGTTCTGGATGTCCTTAATAAGGTCTTTATAGGCCTTAAGAGAGCAGCTTGTTTCCGTGAAAACATCCACACGACACTTTACATTAGATAAAAGAAATTTCAAGTGATTTATTTTTTCTTCAACTTGACATTCGTCAACTTTCTTTTCAATAATATCAGGAAGACTTTTCAACCTCAAATCAGCAATTTTTTCTAATAATTCTGATAAACTGATCAAGTTTTTCACATACAGCTCTTGTTCAATAGTCAATTTATTTTTGTAGTCAAGCTGAACTTTATCTTCAGAAGATAGCTGTAGAGAAGTTGAGTCTTGTCTTGTTTCAAGTGATTTTTGCAAATCTCTATTGGTAACTTTATGAAACTCTTGGGCAAGATTCTGATGCTTTTCAATAAGTTTTAGATTTAGCTTCTTTTGTAATAAATTTCCTTCTGGATATGTCAGATTCGAACATTCTGTATCATTTGCTCCTAATACTGAGATATTACTTTCATCAAATGAATTGAATTCCAATATTGAGGTCTGTGCCAAACTTTCACTGAGAATTATACTCCGTACTTTTGCTCTCAAGTTATCATCAACCCCGCCTGCTTCATTAATATATTCTTCCAATGTATCATAAATAACTTTATATTGTACATACTTTTCTTGTTCAAGCTTTAAAAATTCTTTAAGATCATTCACCTCCTGTTCTTGGGCACAGGTGTTGAATTGTGTTGAACCGTCCACTGAAGTGAATCGTCCTTTATTTGTGTTTGTCCCTATGACATTGGACATACTTTTTCCTTATTTTCTAACAATAATAAAGGTTTCATTTCCAATTTATTTCAAATATTTGACTTACAACAGACAAAATAGAAAAGATGCCATTTTTGACAATACGACGTTAAAAATTCGTTGTCGACGATTGTCACTTGTCATTTAGTCACGATGGCCAACATAAAGATAAATCATTACAATAACCTACTGTTAAAAAAGGCCTACACTGAACTGCAACTGTGTATCAATTTACACTCACAAGTGTAAATTCACACTAATAACCATAATATTGACCAGCCTCTATACACGGCGAGTTTCTCACATATACACTTTGCACTCAGTACTTTGGATTTATTGCAAATTTATTCAGTATATAATCGTAAAGCTAACGTGTAAGCTAACCAGAGTTGAATACAACTAGTACAACTGAAACTGAAAAAAACATATGTATTGTGAATTTATCAGTTGAATATAGCTTTGGCTAGTTAATCTATCTACAGACGCACAGTTATTACTGTGAAATTGACATTTTAAAATTGTAAGTGAGAACTCATAATCATAACTATAAATTCACAATTATTATAACTGTAAACTCACAGACAAGTTCATGTTTTTTATTCCGTGCTGGGTGAAAGGTATTGGGTGCCTTAAGGTATTCTGTGGTCTGGAAATGAATAAAGGAATGACCCCATAACATCAGTGTCACCACCTCTGTAGATATCACAAAAAAGTTAAAACATTTAATTCTTGACCGATATGCAATATTTATAGGATATTGAAAATCTTACAATCTGTAGAATTCAATTCAGTACTCCGTATAATTAATAGTTAGAGATATTATTAGCATTTAGAAAAATTGAATATATCAAATTATTTTTACAATATAATACGTTAAGTTGGCAAGAATCAGTTTTGCTAACCGAATTTTCTACCGGCATGTTGGTATGTTTTCTTTTTCGTCCTTTTTTATTCGCTATTCACGAAGTACCGCTTGTGCAAAATGTATGTTAAATGCGGAGTTTTCTTGTGAATAAATTTGGATTTAGTTAAATGTGAAATATTTCAGATGTTCTGAATAACTATTCTTAAGTGTACATTTCCATAGTGAAAATGGAGGGCTCTTTTATTTTTGCTTCTGTAGTTAGTGAAGGAGAATGGCAATCGGTGCCTACAGAGATAGGAGTGAAGATATCAAAATTTGTTAGTGAAAAGTTTGATGAATTCATCACATCTAAGGCTCTTTTAGAAACAAAATGCTTCAATTTGGGTAAGTCACTCTTTTGATCTGAAAACATATAATGAAAGAGAGGATCACCTTTTCTAAAATATATTCCTTTCATATTAACAGAACAGACTCATGGAGAAAATCAAACATGCAGTGAAAAACTAGAACTCGAAGCTGAAATTTTGAAGACCAAACTAGAAGTAGCAGCAAAAACCATAGAAGAACAAGAGTTGCAACTTGCCACTTTAAGTTCAGAAGTCAGTAAGTTACACACACAATGCAATGTTCTAGAAGCTGAAACGGCTGAATATCGTCATCAACGAAACTTAGCGTTGGATGAACGAGACGAGCATCTCAAGATGATTCAGCGTCGTAATTCTGAAGTGGAGCGGTTACAGTCTGATATCAATAGTTTAACCAAACAGTTGGAAACAGCTGTGAATGCCAAATGTGAAGCCCTAGCACAAGCTGATGAGGTGGCATCAATGAAAATAACCCTAGAATATCGTGAAAAAAGAATGGAACAGGAAAGGTCTCTTCTTAATAGTCAAGTACAAAGTTTAACTGATGAACTGAATCAACGTACTGAGGAATTACTCAATATGCGACGTGACAATACATCTCGTTGCATACAGTTGGAAACTAAATTAACTGAGAAAACTCAAGAGTTGTCAGTTGCATTGGAACAAATAAAGTCTTTAACTGATATCAACAACAACATGGTTGCTAGAAATGAAGAACTGTCTCAGAAAATGATGGATCAACGAGAAGTAGATGCCAAAATGAATGAATCTTATGCCTTCGAAATTGAAGCTAAAACCAAAATGGCGAATGCCTACCAATCCATGTATGAGGAGAGTCAACAGCATGCTAACGAATTGAAAGAAGCTTTGTCAGAGGTATAGATTTATGATCATTTTTGTTTTTAACTTGAATATGTTGTTCCTTAGATAACAGTTGATAATTTGACCTAGAACTTTTCAGTAGTTTAGACCCAGTTGTTGCTGTAGTCTGTCAGATGGGTACAATAATTTAATTTTTCTTGCAAAAGTTTCATACTATTTGGTAACAAATTGGGCTTGATTTCAGAAAAAATATTACCTAGTGAAATAAATACCACTTTTTATAAAATATCTGTTAAAAGAAAAATATATGCACCAATAGTTACCCAGTCTTAGTTCGGAGTTCACTGTAGTTATTACATTATAACACACCACAAACACACACAACTGCCCTGTATCTTGATAAGGAATAGTAAGGGAGCTACTAATCATAGAAGCTTACTTCCATAAAATCATGAATAATGTGCCAATCACGGTCTGATAGACAGTGTGTGAGTACCTGAAAGTTGAATCCATTTTTCCAAAAAATTTTCCCTTCAAACAGAAAAAACTGGTAGAAGAGTTTGATTATTTACATACCAATATTTCTTATTCTAGTATTATACTGGTGGATTTGATTATTGAAAATCACAAATTTGTCAAAGTTGAAAGGTAGGTTATGCAACATTTTGTAAATATATATCATCCTCAAATATGTAAGCCTACTTTCTATAGATAACCATTCTAGAGTATTTAACATTAAAGATATAGGGGTACGCCTGTCACATCTCAAAATAATACTCATTGCACTATTCTGTAGTTTCTGTAGTGTGGGACAATATTCGAAATGTGGTTGTATAATGCTATTATTTTCTGTTATTCGTGATTGCATAGTTAAGTGTTCGGACACTCTTGTAAAAAATATAATTTTTTCAATTTTTTTTTCTGTATGTAATTCAAATGGTTATTCATTGATAAATGCTCGTCCAAAATAAATCCTAAATATTTGAATTCAGTCATAAGATCAATTTTGTCATTTTCTATTTTTATTTCAATTTGATTTAAATTTAATTTTCTGTACTTGAACGGTGTAGTAAGTATCATAGCCTTTGTTTTTTTGACATTTAGCTTCAATTTATTAGTTTATAAATACGTAGCAGTATTATTTAATGCTTTATTCATTTTTTGAATAGCTTCATCTATATTTTTATCACCAACCAATATTAGGACATCATCAGCAAAATAATGTTCATAATCACATTCATAACATTTGCTGAGATCATTAATGTAGATTAAGAATAGTAATGGCCCTAGAATACTTCCCTGCAGAATCCCATGGTCTACGCTTATTGCTGTTGAAACAAACTTATTAATTTTGGTTATCTGCTTCCTTTCTGTGAGGTAATCACTGATCCAATCAAATACTTTTCCTTTCTTGCCATATTTTTTTATTTTTCAATTAATATTTCACGATTAACAGTTTCAAAAGCACGTTTCAGATCTAAAAAGACTGCTACAGTGTTCATGCCTTTACTCATTTTATCTTTCCATTCACTAATCGTAGGCTAAAGTGTGGATTCGAATGAATGGTTGGATCTAAAACCAAATTGGTTTGTGTTTTTTTTTTATAAAATATTCCAATAGTTGTTGATATACTACTGATTCTAACAGTTTTTCAGCATAGGGTAAAGTGTTAATTGGCCGGTATTCATCAGATTTTTTTTGTGTTAGGAACTTCTTCGATAGGCATACCTGTACTGGTTTTCAAATCATCTGGAAAACTTACCATTTTGTAATGAGGTATTCACAAAATGATACTACACATGTCCAATTACTTCAAAGCTACTCTTTATAATTTTGCTCGATAGTGCATCTACTTGTGATCCTTTGCTAAATTGGATACAATTACTTTCAGTTCTTGGAGAGTTGGTATTTTAAAATCACTGAAACCCTCTTCATCAACGTAGTCAATGTGACAGGTAAATCCAATATCAGAAACAATGTCTATAACACTCTTTAGAAAATGAATTGAAACAAGTAGCCAATTCCTGTTTTTCTCTAATGATAACTTTTTGATTATTTTGTTCAAATTGAATACCATTTTCAAAATAATTAGTGAACTATTTTATATTGATTAATTTTTTTAGAGTTTTTCACATTAAATGTGGGTTATATTTACTTATGATGCACTGTTTGGAACCTTTGGTGTAGTTTGCTTTGCTGGAGTTTTTTCCCAACACCAAATAGTTATTTTTAATACCTCGACACGTGTTTCGATCACCAAGTGATCATCTTCAAAAAGGAAGATTAAAATTTTTAATCTTCAAAGGGGAAGATTAAAATTTTTAATCTTGTTGTTGTTGGGAAAAAACTCCAGTAATATTCGTGGGTTATATTTGTTGCTGTCAATCTGATTAACATAAAATTCACCTTCACCTTAATAATATTCACGACAGCATTACGTTTATTTTTATAATTTTGCAAATTACTCTTTACTCAACCTTCTGATTTGACCATTATACCAAGGCATATCTTCTTGGTGAAAAGTAATTGTTTTTAAAGGTGCAATTTCATTTAAGATGTTTTCACAAGCTTGTAATCATAATATCTCTCTTTACTCAACCTTCTGATTTGACCATTATACCAAGGCAGATCTTAGTGAAAAGTAATAGTTTTTAAAAAAGCAATTTCATTTAAGATGTTTTCACAAGCTTGTAATCATAATCTCTCTCTTTACTCAACCTTCTGATTTGACCATTATACCAAGGCAGATCTTAGTGAAAAGTAATAGTTTTTAAAAAAGCAATTTCATTTAAGATGTTTTCACAAGTTTCTTCAATATTATAAATATATTATTATATCATTATAAATTGACAGAAAATTTTTAAATACTGCTATGACGGACAATGAATAATATCCAACAGATATTCAAGTAAGTTTCCAAACAAACTTTGTTCAAGTTTCTTCATGCAAGAAGGAAGTATCGGCAAGAATTTCTTCGGGGAGAAAATTTGCTTAAATGTCTGTCAGATATAGTTCAATGTCTGTCGTGGTATCTGTCTGCGAAATAGTCGTTTTCTGATAGGAATTTAAAAGATCCTTCCGTATAGGAGTAATTGGAAAAAGTGAGGGTTTTGAATAGTACTTTCATTAGCTTGTAATTCACGTCCTTGAAATAAACAATTTCTTGATTGGCAAAAATATGAATGTTATAAAGAAAAAATTCGAAATTACTTGAGCCTGGGAAATTATCCAACTGATGAATATCATTAAATTGAATTTAATGAATAAATCCAATGGCAAAATCATCAACTGTTATGAAATGCTGTAACATAAAAAGTGTAATCAACTGTATTTTCAGTTTATCAAACATGAATGTGCTTTTATTGTTGATTTGAATAATTTCAGCTTCAAGAGTTGTTGAGATCTGCCACTGAGCAGTATGGACAACTTGAAACTAAGCATAAGGAATCGGAACTAGCTCATGAAGAAATCCTTCTCAGAAAAAATGAGTGTATTGATCTGCTGAAAAAAGAACTGGAGACTGCAAATGAAATAATTGATGCCACAAAGACTGACCAATTGCAAAAAGACATTGAAGGTACTGTTTATAGATCTTATTTCGTTCTTGTAGCTATTCTTAGCAAGTTTAATATTGAAAAAATTACATATTTTGAATGTTGAAAATTAATAAATTTACATTTGTTTTCCTTCGCGTCTTTTCAACTTATCTACTGTGCTGTAACTCTTTGACATATTAAAATTATGAGTTGACGAAATCAATGTGATCAAATAGATGTATCATTTTCCAGGATGATCTTTTATTTTTCATTCTGCATTTTTTTTAATGGGAAAATTGAACTCTAAAAACCTGATTTGGTTCCCAGCGGGGCAGATGTTGGGTAGATTATCAAATGAAAGTTACAGTGATAGAATTTTGCAATCTCACTTCTCACTTCTCAATGAAACACCCCCGTATCTTCCGTAATAATCGAGGTAGAATGATGAAACTCAGAACAACCCATTTTTACGATAAAACATACTAGAAGAGAGTACTCTCAGGTATCAAAGATGCAGACATTTTCACGGAATGAGGAAGATCTTCCTCTTGAAGATGATCACTTGGTGATCGAAACACGTGTTGAGGTGTTGAAATAACGTTTTGGTGTTGGAAAAAAACTCCAGTAATATTCATTACTACGCCAAAGGTTCCAAACAGTGCATCACAAGCCCGCCATTACATACGATGAAAAGTTGTTAATGGCTTATAAATTGCTAAGTAGCACAAATGAACGATCAGAACAGGCAAGGGTTGTAAATACAAAAGTTAGGAAAGAAGAATTAAAAGAAGCAGTTTATGGAGGATTGGTAAATTTACTTACCAAAGAAACGTTTACATTATTTGACCGATTTAATATAAAAACAGATTTCCTAAGACAACATCCAAACACCTGGCCTCAAAATAATGACTTCCAAGAAGGATTGAAAATTGTCACAACATTAAAAGTAGTTGATGATATGGCTGATCATGGTGTTGAATTAATAACCGTCTTTAGCAGCCTTTTGACAAAAGATGAAGACCAAAAGCAACATGTCTTGCAAGTTGTAAGCAAATGCCAAGCATTATATCCTGATGTTACAAAAACTACTTTAACAAAAACTCTAGAATAGATTAGGTAACTATGTAAAATTATCAACTCATGTAGGTACTACATCTGCATCTTTTCTGTGTCTGTTTTGTATGAATTATATAGGTACCTGATTTTTATATTTTATTTTTCATTAGACTTATCAATATTACTTGTTTTTTTATTATATTACTACTTTAAACTCAATATACCAAAAAAAGAAAAATTTACCACTTAATAACAAAATATATGAAAGTCTACTCCTAGTGTTACCAGGTCACTTTTTTGGGGCTAAAGGCTGTTGTAACTCGGTTTGACTTGATATAACAACAATTATAGAATATAAATTTTGAAGAACAACATTAGCTTTTTTTACACCTTGAGCACCAAGCGGCACGGCTTAACGTCGTTTAATCGAGCTCAAATTTCGACTATCTCAATATCTCAAAAGGGGAATCGTTTTGTGGGGTCCAGAGAAACAAAATTCTGACATCGATTTTATGCTGTCACCCTAGTGCTTACTGATAGTAATTTCTATGCCATACGATTCTAATAAGCATTTTGATTGAAGCCGATATTAAAATAGTCGAGGACCCACTTGATTTTATTTCTTTTCTCGAGATAATAGAGCATCAATATTTTTTTGAAAAACATTTACGTCCATATACCACAAAATCTAGAATTGAGTTCAACATTAAAATTTCCAAGATCTCAAATATTTGGGTCTAAGATTTGTTTTACATAAAATGACAACGCCACTGTATTCATATTTTTGTCTACAGAACTTAGTAGCTAGGAAATAAGTAGGAATATTTATAGTTTTCAAATCATCATCGCTAGCCAAATAAGCAAAAAACAGGGAATTGAAAATCGTTCAGAAATATAGTAATTTTATTTATTTCGTTTGGCAAATCTATGTTTTCTGTTTAGGATTGTCACCAAACGTGTCCTCTGCTTCGAAGTTGATAAAATCTGGAATGTCTTATAGCGAAGTTTACTCTCGCTATGTATCTGTCACGGAACAATTTACAAATAAAGAGGAAGAATGTGCAAGACTCAATAATTACATCACATGCATCGTGAGAGAAATTGAAGAGAAAGGACCACTAATAAAGAAACTGCGTCAAGATTATAGTAACACACTAGACGCTAATGATGCCCTCAAAGATGCTAATGAAACTCTTTTAAGAGAGATTCAAGAACTTCGGGAGTCCAATGCTGAATGCAAACGACTGGAAGGCGTGACGGCTAGAGAAAACGAGAGGCTGAAAAAAGAAGTCGCGGATTTGTCTCGCCAAGTTGTACATTTACTGCAAGAGGTGGAACATTCTCGCATTGGTTCCTCCTCTACTTCAACTGATAATGACCTGAGTGACAGCATCAGCTCAGCAGACATTATAACAAAGAAACTGGTGACTTTCAATGATATATCTGAATTACAAGCTACGAACCAGAAACTTCTGGCTCTGGTTAGGGAACTTACAGAGCGTCAAGAGGAAGTTGAAAATATAGACCCTGCTGCTATCGCAAATCTCAAGATGAAACTGGAAGATTTGAGAGAGTCGCAAAATGAACTTCTTGAAGAGCGTGACCGTCAGAATAAAATGATGGTAACTCTACGCAACCAGAGAGATATGTACAAAAACTTATATACCCAGGCTGTCAAAGGTTCAGGAGAAGAAGTACCGTCACAATTGGAACGTACTTTTCTCCCAGAAAATGGGGAAACCAGAATGCAAACAGATTCTGACACTCAATTTGAAGAAAAGATTCAGGACTTAGAAAATCAGGTAGAGAAATTGAATAAACAAGTTGAACATCTCAAGGAAGAGAACGAAACTTACCGTAAGGAAAAGTCCGCTAATGAAAAAATATTGCTAGAACAATTAGAAAATATGCGTGGGGAAGTTAAGGAACTGACAAGGTTAAACTGTAAACTAAGCTCTCATGCTGATCTCAATGAGGAAAAGTTCAAGGTATTACAGAATAACGTGGAAATTTATAAAAAGCAAGTAGCTGCATTGGAAAAACAAAACAAAATCTATAGCGAATCAATAATCAAACACGAACAGGCTGCCACATACCTGAAAGACGAGACTTTGCAATCCCAAACAAAACTTTCCAAAGCTGAAGTTATGCTTGCCAATCTGCAGAAAGAAAATGCTCTTCTCAAAGATGCAGAACAAAGACTCTTGAAAGAAAGAGAATCTTTGAGACGTGACTCATACCAGCAAAATTTGATTAAGTCAAATATTGAGTTGATAAAAGCTACTTTGGAAAGAACGGACGCAGAAGGAAAGTTGAGATTGGAAAGTAGACTGGACGAGGCGCATAGAGAATGTTCTGCTTTGCGCAGGAGGCTTCAAGAAGAACAAGATCATTTCAGGCAACTTTCCGATAATCTGGAAAAACAAAGTAAAGCTGCTCAAAAGCGAATGGAAGAAGAACGCGAACAAGCGGAGAAGCTACGTAAGGAAGTAGCTGAAGCCCGAGAAGAAATTGTATTGAAAACTAATCAAATTGAAGAATTAAGCAAAAAAATGAAAATGGGTCTTTTTACTGTTCCTGACACAAACGCAGAAGTACGTAAGATGAGAGAAATTGAACAACAATTGGCTGACGCTAATGCAGAAATAAACTCCCTGAAAACTAAACTGAAAACAGCTAAAGAGGCATCCGACGAGTATTTCAATGTTGCTGAAGCTTCAGAGAAACAAGTTAAGGATGTTCTCGATCAGAATGAACTGCTGCGCCAGGAAATTGAGAAACAAACATCCCTTGTTAAGGAACTGCAAGAAAAGTGTTCGGAATTAGAGGGAGAACTCTCTATTCAGTTGGATGACCAGGATATATCAAATGCAAGTGTCAAGAATAAGTCTACTCAACTGCAAGAAGAACTTAATGTTAGAAATATGGATTTGAAAACTGCAAGGGAACAACTGGAAAATGCCAGGTGCGAGAACAAATCTTTGATCGAACAGTTGAAAGCAGTTGAAAATAAATATGCCAGGGAGGTCACTTTACATTCTGTAGACCTGCAATCCCTCACAACTATGAAAGAAGACCTTGACAAAGCAGTCGATGATGCTAATAAGTTAGAGAATGACAAGACTCAAGCCATTGAGGCTCTCAACCAAATCAAAAGTGATTGGGAGCAACAAAATGTCTTATTCTTGAAGGAGAAGGAAGAACTTGAATCTCGATTTAAAGACGTGGACTCTCAAAATAGTTTGTTGCATGACCAGATTCAAGCTCTGAATACTCAACTGAATATATTGCAAGCTCAGGCGACTGAACAACAGAATCAATCTATTAGCGAAGCTTCATTCAATAAATCATTTAGCGAAGACGATGTCAAATCATCTGAACAACTATTGAAAATAATAAAGTATCTGAGGCAAGAGAAAGACATAGCTGTAAGTAAGGCTGATATAGTGGAAGCCGAACATTTGAGGTTGAAATCTCAATTCGATATGCTCAACAAACAATTAGAGGAAGCTAAAGCTGCTATAGAGCTTGAAAGGCAGAAGCATGAAGTTTCAGTTGTATCTGCTGCTAAACATGCTGAGGTTCTTCGTAAATTGGAAACTTTGAATGCTATAACGGACAGTAACAGATCTCTGAGACAGGAACGTGACTCCCTATTGTCACAAATGGCTGAATTGAGGGAACGTGCTGATAAATTAGAAATTGAGGTAGCTCCATTGCAGGAAAAGAACAGGGAATTGACTACAAAATCAGATCAGCTGCAAAGTGAGAATATATCTCTGCGTGCGGAGTGCACTAGATGGAGACAAAGAGCTAACATGCTTATTGAAAAAACAAATAGAACCAACCCTGAAGATTGGAAAAAACTTCAAACTGAGCGTGAAACTCTTGCCAAACAACTTACAATTGAGAGGTCCACCGTTACTAAGTTGAATGATGACATTAATACTCTGAAACAAGACAAAATCAAATTGGAAGAACAACTCAGAAGTTTGAGATCTCAAAATAATCAACAAGCCGAGGAAATTGCACGTTTACGTGATGAAGTTACTAGTCTTCAGGCTCAGGTAACTCAGCTCACTAATACAGTAGATCAACAAAGCGGTGAAATACTCAAATATAAGGAGGAAAATCGTATCATAACTGAAGATACGGCAGCTAAAGATGTTTCAATAACTGAACTTAAAAACAACTTAGCACAAATTCGAAAAATAGCCAAAAAATATAAAATACAGTGCGAGGATCAGACTAAAGAAATTGAGAATCTCAAACAGCAGTCTAAGCAGCATGATAGTGAGGCAACTATTAATGCCGAAAAACAGGAACAGTTGCTCCAGGAACAACGCACCGAGATGGAAGAGCGCATGTCACAACTTGAATCAACTCACAAAGACACTGTTGACTTATTGAATCAACAAGTGACGAGTAGCACAGAACAGATAGATAACTACAAGAAGGAAATCGAAAGTCTCAAGCAATCAAGCTTAGAGAAGGAAGAACGATTCAAAACCTTGTTCAAAAACGCAAAAGAACGGATAGTAAGTTTAACAGAGCAAAACAATAGCCTCAAAGAAGAACTTAACAAGGACAAACCGGCTAGGTCGAACGGAAGTGAACAAGTTGGCGAGAGCAGTAAGAACGCGGAGCTTTTGGAGAAAATCGCGAATTTGGAGAGGGAAAGAGATGAAATCAGTGAAGAAAGGCAGGCAGAAAAAGACAAGTTCGCCTCCGAACTTGAGAGTCTGAATCAGAGGGTGAGCCAGTTACAGAGACAGTTGGGCCTACAGCAAGGGTCTAAGCCAAGCACAAGCTCTACATCTTCAGAAAAATCATCAACCGAAAGGCCTACTGCCGATATCAAACCGATGGCGGGTAAGTTGGCAATATGAAAATAATTCCTCCATTTCATAACCTGTGCTTTAGGTCATTCAACAAATACTCAAACTCAGTCTGTGCCAATTCAACCATGGCGCAGTGGTGGTGAGCCTCCTTTGGCAAGTATTAGGCCGATGTCAGCTCAATTGAGAACCGTTGCAGTATTGCCTACCAGCCAAAGCCCAAGTGCAGTCATGGTACCACCTCAACAGCAGGTAAATTAATTAATTAATAATTGTAATTTATTGAACAAAATTACAATTTTGCTCAACTGGCTATCGACCGAAGTCCTTCTGCCCAAGCAGGTAAATTATTAAATATTTTAGTGATAAAATCAATAGACTGCCTGGAAGTACCTTGACCATTGGAACTGAGCAAAATGACAACCGAATTTTTTTATAGGTTCACACTACTGGTTCCAGCACAATTGAATCTCTGTCCAGTAGTCCCACTAGTTCCCATACCGACTATGTACCGGCAACGAGTTCTGCAAGCTCTGCCATGCTGGGTCCCCGGCAGGTTGCCGTTCCTCCTACTCAGTCCTCCCAAGATACAGAAGACGATGAAACCAGCATGCAAGTTCAAGCTGCTCCACAAACGCAAGCCGTTGCTTTAGTGCTACCCCGAGTTGAACCTCCAAGTAGTGGACCTACACAAGAACAGGGCACTAGCAGTAGTAGTTCAAATACAGTGACGACTACACAAGCTGGACATAAAAGACAAAGAGATTCTGATACAGATAGTTGTCAAGCCGACGACCAGTCTAAGACTCAACAGCAATCTAAAAGGACCAGGATTCAGGTGAGCGGAACAAAAATAACAAGTTTTAGTGTTGAATATTATAATAAGAATACTGATAATAATCTTTTTTCTATTACTTTTTTACAATCGGTTGTATAGGAATAGTCTAAATGTATTGATATCAAAGTTGCTTTTGATTTAAATATAAAAAAAATCCACATTTCTTGGTGGTCTCTGGGCAGTATCAGTTTCAATTAATTTAATAGAACTGGCCCATACCTGATGAAAATCCATATTGAAACTCACTAATACAGTTTATTGTGTGATTTCCAATAATTAGGGTTTTACAAAAACCGCGACACATGTTTCGCTATACAATACACGAAAAAAAAAGATTTGTTGAATGAAAGAAAATTCACTTCATTGAATTCAAGTAATATTTTGTCTAATTGATAGCGAGAATGATTTAGAGTAATTCGAATATTCTCTATTGAACAAACGAAATTTAAAGATGGGTGAAATAGTGGAACTGATTGAAATAATCGAATGTATTTTCTATCTGAGTAAAAGTTATGTAGAAGAAACATAACATATCTGCAGGATGATGGAGAACTTTGTTTTGATAATGGGAAAATTTCCACTGAAGTAATGATTTTGTTGGACAAATAATGAATAGTAGTTGAACGAACAATGTTTATACCTCATTGTGAGTATATTGCTGATAGAGTGGAGCATTTTGAAAGTTCAAAATGAGTATGAATAATGATGAATCAAATGAAATGAAGTTACAAATCAAAATCCTTCCTACTTGTTTGAATTTGGTTATTGGATTCAATTAACCAAATATTATACTAATTTGAGTACCACCATCTAGTTGGTAATGGAGTAATGGAGCTTCAGATCGGTGCTACTGAAAATTACTTTTCTCTTCTCTAAAACTACAATATGCTTTTTACCATCAAATATTTTCCCATAAAAAAAAATCATTAGACCATCGATAGTTGTCATCTCCTGTTGATGCTGATTCGATTAGTACATGTAGTTTGTAGGTAAAAAGCATTGCGTAGTTTTAGTATTGAGAAAAGTACTTTTCGGCAGAATCAGAAATACAGAGTCAGTGATTCAATTTACGTGAATTTCCAATCAAAATGGATCAAGTCATTGAATAATTGTGATTATTGATCTACTTACATATCACGATTTTTCAATCAGCTGCTGAAGAGAGTTTTGGGGATAATATTTCATATTCAATACTGATTATGTAAACGCCATGGAAAATGTTTCAACATGAGAATGAGCAAAATATTAAAAAAAATCGAGAAATTTTAGTAACAAATTTATTCAAACAATTTATTAAATGAGTTTTTTTTTAATATCAGTTTCATTTTATAGTTAACTAATGTAAAGCGGTAATAAATGAAAATGTTTCTTTCATAATTAATTTATTATATTCGTTAATGCAAATACTTACACCAGACTGTTGTCACTGGTCTTCAAGAGGTATATTATTCGATACTGGTGATGACACATAGTAATCAAAGAGACTCGTCTTTGGTAGGAGGTAGGTAGGTAATTAGTTGCTTTAAAAATTCCATGTTTTTTTTTTAATCACATTTCCAATCAAATGAGTTTGTTCCTAGATTGTAAAATCATTTTTCATTGAGTAGGAAGTGAAAGTCATTATAATTCAAATTATTATTGTATATAAAGCACTAAATAGGTAGAATTCAGTTAGTGTGAACACATCTTGCAGTTTTGTAAACTGTAGTGAAAATCTCACAAAAATTATAATAATAGTGTTACTATCTCCATTTGGGTTTGAATGCCGTTGTAGTGTGGAACTGCATCCTTACGTTTCGCTTCTTCAGAGGTTTATTCAATTCATAAAAATAAACATGATATCTTTACGAAAGATTTTTTTCGTAAATAAAAGTGAAATTATCAATAGTAAATTCCTAAAAGAAACTTTCGATGTGTCTGGGCATGTAATATTGAACTTTATAAATACTTCCTTGTCCACAGGACTGTTTCCAAACCAGTACAAAGTTAGTACAGTCACTCCAATTCTGAAAATAAATAATACAAGTGATGCAAGTCATTTTTGTCCAATTAACAGTCTTCCAACATTTGAAAAAGTACTGGAACTGGCAGTATATCAACAACTAGTTACATACTTTAATGAAAATAATTTATTCATCGAAAATCAGTCTGGTTTTCCCAAGAATCATTCATGCGAAACAACGTTACAACTAACAGAGTGGAATAAAGTATTGATACGAAAGATTATAATGTTGCTTTATTTCTAGATTTCAAACGTGCCTTTGAAACAATCAATAGGAATAATTTAATCAATAAACTGGAGTATTATAGTGTAAGTGGCAAAGTTTTAAGCTGGTTAGAAGATAGTTATCTTGAGGAAAGAAGTGAAAGGAGTAAAATTTGTAATGTAATGTCAGATCAAATTAGAAATGATATAGATTTACCACAAGGCAGTGTTTTGGGGCCATTGCTATTTATTATTTATATAAATAATATCAACTGTGTACCTGGTTCACACCATATTGATTTATTTGGTGACGATACCCTTGTATATACAAAAAACTGTGATTTAAAAGGAGCTGTACAAAATATCGATATATCTTTAAAAAGCATCAAAATGTATCTACAAGTGAATAAACTCAAATTGAATATCAATAAATCTAAGGCAATGATTGTTACATAAAATTCGAATCAAAGAAAGATTGATATTAATGAGGTTGATATCAGCATATTCAATAATCAGCTCACAATTGTAAATGAAATTAAGTACCTAGGATTTATTAATTATAGACTATCAATTAAATTTGAATAAGCATGCTGAATATACCATTAGAAAGATATGTAAGAAAATGTATTTTTTCTCTAGAATTTCAAAATCTTTATCAACCTTTGCTAGACTAATATGTTACAACTGCATAATGATGCCTAAGATGAAAAACAGAGGTCGCATCTTTCGATGCAACCAACTGATCTTTAGCCTTTCCCGTTTCAGTAAATGTTCACATTTATTGATTGTATCATTCTGGGAATAAAAACCTATTATTATTATTATTATTATTAATAAGGCCAAACTTTGACTACTGTGCCACACTGATGTATCTATTCAACAAAAAATCAAACGGTACAGTTGTAGAAACTACAAAATCGAGGTATGAGAATTATTTTGAGATGCAACCAGTATACCCTTATTGAATTTATGTTGAATACTCTACAGTGGCAGCCGGTGCATAAAAGACTGTATTATTTGAGCATGATTTTTATTTTCAAAATTACGAGTGGGATACAACCAGCCTATTTTAGAAGATATTTAGTTCGAAATAGTGATCTTCATTCATATAACACAAGAACATGTAATATATTTTATATATCCCGAACAAACTAAAAGAGTGAAATGTATTAATTGTTCTTTAAAGGTTTAGATAGCTCCAATAACTTACTCGTACTGGTGAAACTTTAGGATGCAGTTCTAAACTAAGTCGGCCTTCAAACCCGAATGGAAATAGTAACACTAAAAATCTCGACCCCGAAAGCCTTAACCAATTTATTATAATAATATTTATTTCAGAAAATATTATCTATATAATAGTCGCAACAGGATTACTAATTATTTGGGAGAAAATAATATACTGTGCAAAGATCAACATGGATTCAGAAAGAGTAAATGAATTGAAACTGCAACATATCACTTACTGAATTATACCTATAATAATTTTGTAATGTCTTCATTTTTTGATCTAACAAAAGTGTTTGACACAGTGTCTCTTAAATTTCTAATTGCAAAACACAATATGTTACCAAATTATCTGAGTGATCAGTTAACCTACACAAGTAGTATTCATACACATTCCACTAGAAATAAAATAGGACATATTTATATCAACAGAGAACATATAGGTTGTGACTGCAACAAAATAAACAAGACATTCTTTGCTTTAAGGCAAATGAAATCATGCATGGACTCAACAGGTCTACTAGAAATCTATTTTGCTATGGCATATTCATATATATCACTCAATATCATAGCATGGGGTTGCAGTAATGAATTCATCAGAGTATTTGTAGCACAAAAGCGCATAATTAGACTAATTTTCAGCGTTGAACAGCAAGACAGCTGTAAACCAGTATTAGTTAAGGAAAAATTATTATCAGCTCCCTCCATATATATTCTTAAATGTATAGAATTTGCTAGATCTAACACCCATGAACTTGAAACAAATGAAACGGTGCACAGTTACAACACTTGTCATGGTGATGTTTTGCATCTTCCAAGTCATAAGACAACGAAATATAAAAATTCCCCTTTGTAGAATGCCATAAATCTGTATAATAAATCACAAGAGCAGATCAAACAAATTACCTCTGATAAAGTGTTTCATGGTAGAGAAAAGCAATTGCTGCTGCAAAAATGTTACTATAGTTGTGATGAATTCCGGTATTTTAATATTAATGTATTTTAGTATTTTAATATTAATGTAAGTCACAAGAAGGATTTGAAGCTTTATAACTTCTATTTAATTATCTGCGAGCGCTTTCGACCGCTGGTCGTGCGATCATCATCTATGCTCTACTCAAACTGAACCTGTCATCCTGTTGTATGTCCTTTTATATGGTCCGAACGCCTCAATGCAGGTACTCCAGGTTCTTTAGGTAAATTTGCCTTTATTTGGGTTACATCAGGTACTATTCTTTGTGTTGGATCTTCTCTAGGTTTACTGTTTCTAGGAGTGTTTATTGATTTGTTTAATATATTGAATGTTAGGTCTTGTTGTGTTTTGATTTGTACTTGTTCCTCGATAAATTTCCTGTTAAATTTATGGATGTTTAAGTTTTCCCAAATGTCCAAACGGTTTCCCTTATTGACTTGTTTTGTGAGTTTTATATTCTCTGGTGGGGGGAAATTATGTTTGTTTTGTATGGCGTATGTTGCGAGGTTTGATTTATATACTATTGGTTTGGCCGATATAGAATTTATTGCAGTCCGAGCATTGTATGCTGTATACCCCGTTCGGTTTTTGTCTTCTTCTTCTTTTACAAAGCTGTTTATTTTTTGTGTTATTTTCGTGTTTGGCTTGTATGTGATGTTGATGTTCAATGGATTGAAGACGTTTGTTAGTTTTTTGGTTTGGTGTCCTACATACGTAAATGCTGTCCATTGTTGTGTTGTTTTATCTGTTGGGGTGGCTTGATCCTTGTTCTGTATTTTTTGTTTCATTCTGTTTTCTAATTTATCTATTGTCTTTTGGGTGTATCCGTTCTCGTTCGCTATTTGGTATATGATTTTCCGTTCTTTGTTTCGGACTCCATTGCTAAGTGGTTCAAACCATCCACCATCACACAAAATGGCTGCCTATAAGGCATTCATATATAGAATGTTGAGGATACCACTCAGCAATGAAGCCCGAAACAAAGAACGGAAAATCATATACCAAATAGNCTGTCAGGATACCGATAAGCATATATTCTCACTGCTTCTTTTGAATACCTTCTTGCTTCGCCATAAATACATATCATATCCAATTTATCTGCATTTGAAAATTGAACCATTTTTCAATTTTACGAAAAACCAACACAAAACTGAATACATTTTCGTCAAATCTGACAGGTCTTCTAACACATCGATAAATACATTATTGCATTTATTTTGACTTATTCATGGCCCCCTTTATAATACATAATATTATGTTCTATGTATATTTTAACTTATTGACATACCATATGTACATACTGTACCACAGTGGCAAATAAATAATATAAAATAATATAAAAATCCTTCATAAAACATATACAGAATGAAATGATGTCACAAAAACTGACATAAACATATTTACAATTGGAAATTGTATTCTAGGTATTCCTCATAGAGTTCAATATTCATGAGCAAACTTTTCATTTCTTCTTTGAATTTGTTGAGACTACTAATTGATTTTATTGGGCCAGGTAGTTTATTGAACAGTTTTATGGACATATTTAAGGGGCAATTATTTGAAAGATATGGGAAATATTTTTTTTATGAAATTCCAATTTCACTTCAAAAAAAACTGAAGATAATGAAAAATATTCATCTTTAGAAATTCGAAATATTATACCTTCACACTTCACACTATTATATTAAAGACAAGTTTGCTTACCTCAATGCTTATGGAATGTACTTGTGCAGCAGGCAGGTACAGTTAGCGATAGTGGTCTGGACGTTGAGTACCAAGTTCCTACAAGCAGTCAGAGAGATCACGATGATGATAACGTTATTGTTGTTGAAAGTGATGAAGAGGGAGCTGCTGATGAAGGTGAGGGTGCCGACGATGAACAGGACGATCCCGACACTGAAGGTTATGATATGGAAGGAATGGTAAGCATTGTGATCTATTTCAAAACGGTGTTGTTATAAGTGAAAGTTTTTTTCTAAAAATGTTTTATTGGTGGTACTGATTATTTTTGAACTTTTCAGGAACAAGATAACTATGATGACGCTGAGTGTCAAGAAGTAGAAGATGAGGAAGAAGCTGGAAACGAAGTAGAGGTGATCGAAGATTCTAGTGAAGTACCCAACCAGAGTGAGAGGTCAATTCAGGAGAGCCCTGAAGAGGAAAATTCTGAACAGGCTCAATCTGAAGCGATCAGCAGTGGCACTGATGGTGAGCTATAATTTTTTATTGCTCGTTAAAAAGCTTATAAAAATCTACCACTAATAATAGCATGAAGAATGAAGTGCTTTCCGAAAGTAAGTGATAAAGTTCATAAAATTGTTAACAAAAATATATCAGAAAAATGTTCAAACAGGTCAATTTTCATGTAGGTTTCAACCCCCACCCAATTTAAATGCAACAAAGATAAGTTTCTCTAAATCAGTTCATAAATATCAGAGATATTCACCACAATGCATCCATATAAGAAATTGAGAAAACAATATTTATATGAATTTTTGAAGATTAACCCATTGCGTTCAATTAACAGTAAAACTGTTCCTTAATCAATCAAAAAACTTGGTAAACATTATCGGTGGTTACTGGTGTGATGGAATGGATTTCTTATTCAAAAATACCCCAACATAGTTAATCTGGTGAACTTGCTAGCAATCAATAGGTTCTCGCTCTTTTTCAAATGTATTCTCATGGTCTATCTTTTAAAAGTGTTATGTTGCCTTACAAGTAAATAGACATTGAGTTACTGCTACTTAACTATTTGTTTTTATTTATCTAAAAATATTCTCAGTGCCCATTTGAAATTTTATTCTACAAATTCTTAATGTTTGTTTTCTGGAAACATAGGTAATATTTGTACTATTATTTATTTTCTATGTTATTTGTGATGCAAACTCTGTCAAAAAGATTTGAATCTTCAGACAATAGTGTTGGAAATGAAAATTGGTTCATCCTGTATGCAGCTTTAAACGGAAGCAGTTGTTTTTTTTGTTATGACATAAAAGTTCTTAGAACCGTTGAAAATAACTTTTTCAGTTGTCACAGTATTTTTTGAAAAGCATTCATATTACACCTACGTTTTTCCTGTTTCTTGCATTAAGCATATTTTGGATTTGACTGCTTATTCCTTCATTGTGAAGCCACTTCATCATCTTTGCTAATTATAGTACTAATTGCAATTTGTATTTCAATCTGTATTTTTGATATACTGATATGTGAACTAACATCCAAGATGGTTGAATTTGGATTTTCTTGTACCATCCAGAGAAAATTTAATTGATTGTGTTCAACTAAAGCAGGTGGACAACCGACTCTAGGCTTGCCTTGTATATATTCAAGATCTAAAAATTTGTTTTGTTTGGGTATGTCATTTAATTAAACAAAATATGAACTTACACCAATATGGCTTCAGAAATGGATTTTCAGTGATGAACAACCATGAAATCTCAATCCAAAAACAATAAAGATATTGTATTCGTGTAATATGCTTACAATGCTTCAGATTATATTATGCTAATAAGGGTCAGGTTGTTGCTGAGGAACTCCTAAAGCGATGCTTTACTTAGGAGTTCCTCAGGGCTCTATCATGAAATCATGGGACCACTTCATTTCGATATATATATAATTAATTTTACTTTGTTTGTCAAGTTTGAGGATATCAATGTATCAAATCTACTAACTGTTAACTCACAGCTTCTGCTTCAAAATCGGTTTTCGGTAGTGTTTTACACAGCTTTCTGCCTAATACTCCTTTACTAATTTTCCTGCCCTCCTTGCTTTCGATTTTGTTCATTGCACTGCTTAGTTGTTTTCATTTTGTCTTCTAACATTCTCAATATACTCATCATTGGTATCCCTTTTTGAAATCAGGCACAAATGGCGTCACCATATCACAGGCATCCACCTCTGTCTCAATAACGTTACCTTCTTGTTCTCGTATAAGACCGATACCGTCTTCCTTGCGATCCAGGCCGCAGTCTAATTTACTGCCTCTTCATGGCCTGGAAGAAATCGGAGATGATGGCATAGTACCCTCAACGCCGACATTGTATGCACCCAGGCGGTCCGACGGTTTCGGCGAGGCTGTGAGCTCCCCTCACGTACCCACGAGCGGGTCTTTTACTTTTAACGAGTCTTCACAACATAATATTTCGGGATCGAATGAAGTTGTCCCCGAGCAAACTCTGGACAGCGGAAATTTGGATGAAACTAGTATGATGCCTTGTTTGTGGATTTGAAATTTTTAATAATGTCATTCATTGTTTCAGGCACGGGCAGGAGCGTGCCGACAACTCCCTTACAGTCTTCGCCTCAGGAGGCTTTACCTGGTACTGAGGAGCAAGGATCCAGTCAGATGACCCAGTCCGACGGTGAGTTTATTTTCTAATAAAGGCTGCAGTATCGCTACCTCACCTTAGTTTCCTTTTGTAAGTTGCTTTTATTGATTTAGGCATACTATAAGCTGCGGGCGTTATATAGAAGACGACCCAGAGGCCACATAAATTCTATAAGAAGTATTATAGTTCATTTTCAAAAGGCATAAAACATAAACTCAAAACAAATATATTGAACATATTGAACATGAACACCTTAACTCATAGGAGACTTGAAACAAATCTTGTGTTTGTCCACAAAGTATTAAACGGCTATATTGATTCTCCAGAAATAGTTGAGCTTTGTACTACTCTCTCTGTGAATGATAAAAGAACCAGAAATAGTGATATTTTTAAAATTCCTTTTTGTAGAACCAATTATGGTCAGAATGAAACAATATGTAGGATTTTGAAATCAGCAAATTATTACCATCTTAACCTGGAATTGTTTAATTCATCATTATTATCCTTCAAAAAATCGATTAAAAACATCGGATGTATCTTTAGTTTGTAAGCACATGTACAATTTATAAAAAGATATTTGTAAAAATTGGCTTGTCCGTTGAAATAAATAAATAAAATAAAATAAATAATTCCAATGACTTGCAATAATTAAAAAATATTGTTATATTATTGTTAAGTTTTTCCCAAGTATAATGTTAATACGAATTTTCTGGAAAAGTTATAACAGCCAATTTGAAAAACTTTTTTAGTTATCATTACCAAAAAACATTTCAAAATAGAATTTGAAATATTTACCTCTCCTAACGTTTCTACACAGTAGAGTCTGGTAAATGCTGGTAAATGGTAACTGCAAGGACGTTCCACAAAGAAAGTTCTTGCAGATGCTTTTAGTTTGCTAAAATTAATCAAATCATTGCAGACTTTCTGTCTGCACTAACGAGACATAACANTTTTTTTTACATAATTTATACACGAATAGACGTAAAGAGAAGGTAATGTAAACATTTTATTATTAATAAATGTTGTTTTAACGTCTTCTTGATAACCCAGTTTGAAGATAACTCGCAAAACTTTTCTTTGCAGTCCAAACACTCTTTTTGCATGAGGCGAGTGCTCCCAGAGTACTGGACCATAAGACATATGGGATATAAAATATAAATGATAAGCAGTGATAATGGTTTCAATAGATGAGATGTCCATTAAACTTCTTATAACATGAATGCTCGATGCCAATTTTTTGCAAATAAAATCTACATGTTTCACCCAAGAGAGCTTTGGATCCAAAAATTCAATTGTTTCATTTTGATCTATGGGCAGTTGTTTGTTGTGTGTAAAAAAGTAATGTTGTGTTTTATTAGAATTCAATTTTAATTCATTATTTGTCAGCCATCTATTAGCATTCGACTCTGCTACTTTAATTTCTTTAACTATAGCCTCGTAGTTTGTATTTTGGAGCAAATTGTGTAATCTCAGAGTCATCTTCAGTCTTGAAATCAATCACATAAATCAAGTATAAAATTGGTCCCAAAACTGAACAGCCTATAGGTGATCACTTGATTGATTTTAGAAAAATCCTGCTTCTGTATAAATGAGATACATCTGCAAGAATTTCTTTTGTGAAGAAATTGCACATATGTCTGTTAGATATAATTCAATGTTCGCTGGTGTATTGCCACGTTGTTTTTCGGTAGACATTTACCAGATCCTACAGTGCAAGAACTTTGAGAGATGAATTTTGAGAGATGAATAGTTCAAATTTAATTTTGAAATATTTTCATGTTAGTTATATAATTTTTCTTGAAGCATTCATCAGACTTACTTCAATTGTTGTCATTATCAATGGCCTACTCATTTAATATAAAAGATGCAGCCTAATTCACAGTTATTGGGAAAAGATTCTGTATATGATTGGAATTGAAATATATGTGTGCTTGGGTCATATTTCAATTTTCATTTCTTCGATGAGAAAATTATTTGCATTGTAGAATTTGTATATTTTCAAAATTAAGTATCCTAACTATTTGCCTGCCATGGTTAAAATCTCGTTAAAATCATTCGGTGCGAAAAAATGCTGATAAAATATATAATTCTCAACAATATCACTGTTTCAAAACGCAATTTTCAAAATAGTTAAATTTTTGCCATTTCAAATTAAATACTCTTCAGGTTTCGAATACAATTTTTTTTGTGTAAAACAGATTTAAATTATGAACATTCCACATACATCATAGATATTTATCAACAAACAGATTTTAAACAGAATTTCCCATTCGATAACCTACCAAACATATAGAAATTGACTGTATTTTCATCTAAGGCATGTTTATACCGCATCATGAAAAGTATATGGTACCTTCCACCCATAACCTTTGGTAACTCACAACATATTTATATTTAATGAAATGTAATTTGATCTGCTTGGGTCAAGGAAGGCTTATTAAACTTTCAAATTCATCAGTAATATCAAAATTTTGATAAGCAGTTTTATTCTCAGTATTTTTTCAGTCAGCCATAATAATAGTACTGGTTTATCAAGTACAAGTTTTGAAATCTTCAATAGATAGTAATTCCCTGATTATTGAAATCAATCAGTTTTAGTTCAGAAGAAAAAAAACTTGTCTGAATCAAAAGTGTCTTTCTCCTTGGCAAACCATCTTTTAAACAGAAAAGTTTAAGGATTATAACTTCAAATAATTCTACAGAGTACAGCCACAGGCTAGTAGCTAATTTGTTCTATTTTTAACCAAATATTCAACTTACTATTAACATTTTTCATTTCAGAAATCAACCATTATTTATCAAAGTTAATATTAGTCAAATATCAAGACAATCTTTCAATAAATTCTCTCTATCATATCCTACCAAAAAAGATCAAATATCTCTGAATAAACATTGACCACGAACAAAGTCAACCTAGGCAACCACAACCAAATCCTAAAAAATCTAATATTTTAAAACTGTTGAAGTCTGTTTTCAATAATTTTAAAATAACATAAGATCACCAAATGGGATCAATGATATTAGATCAGGAATCGAAAAAAACGAAGAGGGGCAGAACTAATTGTAGCAAAGTTTAAATAAATATCCTCAAAAGTTCATTTGGAAAACGATCTCAAGATATCTTGACTTCCTTCAAGTAATACAAGTGATTTCAGATTTCCACGGAAGGTGACAGAATTTGCAAAAAAATATATTTTCAAAGTTATGCATCTTCTAAGCTACCATTGTCTCTTATTGAATTTCATATTTTTCATGTGTTTCGTGCTAGTAATCGGGCATTAAGGCTACGACCTCGGTAATCCTCATGCTCAAGTTTAGATTTTTGAGGGGTATCGTTTGTAGGAGAAAAACAGATTTGAATAATAACTATCATTACCATAGGATGATAATGAGGAAAGGATCACAATTTAATGACTTCATTGATTGCTCAACGTTCTGAATGATTGTGAGTATATTGGGATAGTATTTTGTAGTTTCATTTTTGAACAACCCTGTAGAGAGAAAAATAATTTTGAATTATCATCCTCAAACCTAGTTTTGAAAAGGCTTTATACATCTATGGTTTGTCAAGTTTCTTAGAAGAAAATGCTATTGATCACTCACTCTTTTAGTATTATAATTTTTAGACAGGAATTACAGGAATATAGAGTGTGTATCAAAAAGGTAGGTTATAAATTGAATCACATATTCTGGGGTAAAAAATAACTCCATTGGATATAACTTACTTTATTGCAAATGTGCACACAAAAAAAGTTATAGCATTTGGATAATACAACATGAAAATAAAATTTTTTCCAATATTTCATGATCTGTTCAACATTTTGTAATGAAAATGGATCCATGGCTTTCTTATCAAAAGAGAATACTTTTCACGTGAAACCACGAAATATGGTCAGCCCATAAAAATTTTAGGGGAGTATTTGAACTCCTAAAATCCCCCAAATTTTTCTATACGCTACAATTGAATTAGTATTGTGACACCATTAGTTTGATACATCATTTTTGACATTTTTTTTCACTTTTGACACTTTTTCGAAAAGCCAGTTTATATCGAGATGCGGGCTCTTTTTCAATACTCTTTAAAAAAAAAATCAGTTGGCTGTTCAACACTTGTAGTTCCTACAGATAAATAACAAACAGTTGCTTTAACAATTACATACTCTCATTTGTGACACCGTTGGTTTAATACATCATTTTGAATTTTTTTTTTACCTCGTAGCACTTTTTCAAAAAGCCAATTTTTATCGAGATGCGACAAAAATATTGAGTAAGAAAAAGTTAGTTATAATAACTGAGTATTCGTATTATTTGCGGGTACAAAAAATATGTAGAAACGTGTGATATTTACTGAAATAAATGTTCAAAATGGCCTACATTTTCCCGAATACATATTCGGCACCGTTTCAAAAAGAAAAACCAAATTTTTTGGAAGATCATAGACCGATTATTTCAAGAGTATACAAGTCCTCTTCCATGCCGAATACATATTCGGCACCGTTTCAAAAAGGAAAACCAAATTTTTTGGAAGATCATAGACCGATTATTTCAAGAGTATACAAGTCCTCTTCCATAAAACCCCAAAAGCGAAAGTTAACAGGGTTGAGATCTGCATTTCCGGCTGGCCAAGAAATAGGAGCATCAGGGTCCCCTCCAATCCAACGTCCAGGGACAGATAAAAAAAATATCCCTTAACTACATTATCGAAATGCGCTGGAGGTCCATCTTATAAATACCATGTATATTTCCTCATTCCTAAATTTACCTTTTCCAAGTATTCTGGTAAATCATTTTGTAAGAACTTTAAGCAATTTGCACCATTTAAATTATTGGAAAGACATACTGGTTCTTGTGAGTAATTATTCACAATGCCTGTTCAAAAAATTACTTTATAAGTATTTGTACATTATGATGATTCGTAATGCCATTTTGTAAGAACTTTAAGCAATTGGCATCATATCTCCTTGCAGCTGCTGCACTATTCCCTTGGCAGTACCAGAATTACAAATGATCAACTGAAACCTTGTAGCTTGACC